CCACCCCAGCCTCTTGGGAAGACACATGTCTAACCTGTTCCTCAGAACCTCCAATAACAGAGACTCCACCTCCTCAGGTAGGCAACACTGGCCAGGCCCAGCTGCCCTGGCAGCTTGGGAAGCTCTGCTGGTGCTGCCCCACATCTTCAGGGCTTTAAGTCCCATGGTCTTGGGATTTCCCAGCCTTAGAAGAGATTTTTCTGTCTCTGCCTTTGTGGAGAGTTTTCACATACTTGACCACTTTGCACATCTCCCTTGCCTGATGGAAATACCCCCCCAGTCATGTTTTTCAGACCATTCCCATTGCTGCTGCCTCCTCCTGACCCCTTCCCACAGCACGGAGCTGGCTGGAGTCAGTACCACAGTGCCTCCCCAGTCCAGGGGTACAGGATTTGCCCTGTCATGTGTGACTCCACAGCCCAGCCCGAAATTCAGGCTGGACATCCAAGGGCTTTACAGGGTATGTTCATCATTGGTGTGATCCACATGAGTCCCTGCAAAAGCATCTGGCATTGCCACCCTGCACACAGCAGCAGAATCCCTCCCACAGAGAGAGACCTGTGCTTGGGGAGCTGCCTCCCGTTCATGTCAGGCTCTTGCTCCACCTCAGCCAAGAATTTTTGGAAACTCCCGCCCTGCCTTTCAATACACTTTCAACCCCTGAGGGACCAAAATCACTGGTGATTTATTGCAGGCACTCTCTAGCCCATAATCCATGGCAAAGCAGAGCTTTTCCCTGCTTCCTGCAGCATCAGCAGGTTGATCTCTGGCAGTACAGTGCAAAGGCTGCAGTGTGAGGATGACAGCTGCCTGGTGTATGGGAAAGCGTTCATCAGCACAGGATCTCCCACCCCACATCTCACAGCTCCCACAGTGGGGACTGAAAACGTGGCTGGCTCAGCCCTTGACGCTCACCATGCCCCCAGTGTCAAGGCATTCACTGTCAGCACTACCACAGGCATTATCTGACACCAGAGAGCCTCACCTCTTCCTGCAATTCATGGGCAGCACCTGCTTTGTCCCAGCAGGCAGTCACAGGCAACTGGACACCCCCCAGCCCCACCTTAGGGCAGGGAAGGTCTGGAAAGATGACAGCAATTAGCAAGATGGATCACACAGCAAGGAGAGGGCAGGGAAGCAGGGAGTGAGGCCAGTATCACCAGGGGTGGCACCTGGCCTCAGGGGCAAGCCCAAGAAGCAGGCAGGGCATGCATTTGAGCAATTGTAAGCCCCCTCCCTTGTTAGCCACGCTGCTACGACGCCCAGAGGATGCGAAGCTGCAAGTCCACCCTCCCAGCACTTGGTGAGCAGCCCACACCTCCCCGGCACAGCCGTGGTCCCGCAGCAGCAGCACGTACCTCCATGGTGACCGTGGCTGTCTCCACAGGGACGCAGTGGAGACCCTCGTCCCCACAACAGCCTCCACAGCGCTGCAAGGAGACGCAGGAGGGTCTGAAAATGTACTCCACCTCGCTGGGGAACTCGGTAATGACGTCCACCAGCTGCTCCAAAGGCCGGCAGAAACTACGATTCCAGATCTCCCGAAAGGTCAGGACTGCAAGAGACCGGGACAGGGGCTATAAGGAGGCACACACAGAGGTAGAGCCCAGTCGGGCCGAAAAAAAAAGGTAGGGTGCCACAGCCGCTTTGTGCGCCTGCCGCCGTCACGGGGCACAGGAATGCAGAGGACGTCCTTGTGCTCCCAGTAAGTCCATCACCGCACTGCTGTGGGGCTCACACAGCCACCCCGACGGGCTCTTTCTCCCTCTGCCCGCCAGCTGCCCGTCTCCTCCCCAGGCGGCCCCCGCCGCGGGGCTCCCCCTGGGCAGACAGCTGTCCCCTCGGGCTCCCAGCGGGGACAGCACAGGCAGCCGAAGCGGAGTGCTC